GACCCTGGCATCAGGGAGGCAACATACATTCAAGAGTCTTATTTTCTGCACAGAAATATCTGTCAATTCCCCTTATACTCAAGTCTCTTATCACTAAAGCTCTCCCAGTCTATTTTCTCCCCTGTGTTTGCAGCAGAGCCAACCATGGTGCCTCAAACTTGGTTGTTGCCACTTTACCCCTGAGAAGCCATATCCCCAACAGTATCGAACATTGTATATCTGTTTGAGAGTGGATGGCCAAAGGGGTCTCCTGCGCCTCATGCCCATGCATACTAATCTTCCTCATGGTCACCCAACATTTTTCTGTCTGTGTAGCCCTTACTTGTAGTGTGACCAGTTACTAAACATGCTATCCACAATGTCTTCAGCATCGTGGATTATCCATAGTGAGTTCATCTGCAGCTACATGCAGTCAATTAGAAGTTGCAGCTGATCACACCCCCTGCAGACGTGGTCCACATGGACACTGGAAGTGTCCCTGATTTCCCACATATTGCAAGAGGAGAATTCCACACGACTGAGTTCCCCTCCCATCATGATCCTTACCAACTCAGTAAGCTAGGAACAAATTACTCAATCTTATTCACTTCTCACTAAATCAGATTTCTCGCTCTCTCTCTCTCTCAACAAACCACACATAAAGGACTTCACACTCTGTCCTAAAACCTTTGCCCTTCATCACTCTTTGAACCCTGATGTCACCTCAGGAGCTCTGCCCCGGCTTCAGTGAAAGTTCACTCCGTTATGCTCTCCTCGTGCTGCTGGTCAACTAGGCTTGACCTGGGCCTTGACTCTCAGGCTTTTACCCGGAAGTTCTATTGGTACCGTTCATCCCCAGGTTCACTTCGCTCCTCTCCTGCTGCTGCTCCAGATTTTGTCGTGCAGTTATAGACAGCATGTCCACCACCACTACAAAGAAATGGTCAGCTCCCCTAGAAGTCAGTTCCTTGACCTTCCAGAACTGGTGAACCGATGCCTCACTCTCACTAGCTCTGACGCTGACACCTCAGTGGGAATGTTAGCATCAGAAAGTGTTGGAGGAACATTCTGGTGAACACCTTACTGCAATAACTCTGCAGCCCACCGAGGAAGAAAATCCCCAGGCAATCAGGGGCTTCATCTGAATTCAAAGGGAGGAACAGGACTGGCAGTCAGGCATGTGGAACACAATGGCCCTCAATGGCCAGAACCTGCAGCTGTGCAGTGACTCATGCTAGCATCTAGCCACCTCCATGGAGACTTTGGCTGCAGCCAAGGAAGGCCAAAACCAGCACTCTCAGAGTTTGCTGGAGACACACATACACCCACATTCCATCACCCAACCACCAGCCCTCAGCACCAAAATGACAGTAACAGGGCAACGGGGATCTTGGTGCACAATCTAGGCACCACTTCCTCATGAGGAGATAGGGTAGTGAGGCAGGCAGCTGGAGGAGCAAAAACACTATTTCATTTTCTACATGGGAACCCTGCAACCTTCTGGACTCAATATCAAGTTCAATAGTTTTAGGGCCTGAGCACCTTCTCCTTTGCCCTATCCCAATCCCAACACAATAGGCCTTGTCATCACATGCTATGGCAAACAACCCATTGTCAGCTACCAACAGTCTCCATTAGCAGCTTTTCATTCTCCCAGGTTAATCTTTACACACCACTTTGTCTGCCCAACTGTGTTTCTCTCTTTCTGGGCTCCATCTCCACTATTGTTTACTCCTCAACCCTCCCCCCACCCCTTCTCTAGCATATATATCTAACTTTTCCTAGCTACAATCAGTTCTGAAGAAGGGTCACTGGACCCGAAATACTAACTCTGATTTCTCTCCATAGATGCTGCCAGACCTGCTGAGTTTTCGCAGCAATTTCTGAATTTATTAGCTCAATGATGAGAGTTTATTTGACTTCCAGTGTATTCCTTTGACAGGTTCAAAGTTGTTCTCTCTCCTTTCAAGCCTCCTCCTTTTCCCTGCCCCACATTTGCAGCTTTCTCTCCTCCTGATCCTCTCTTGCACGTTCCGACTCCCCTAAACCCCTCCTACAGCCTCCTTCTCCCCCACAAACACTCTTAGACCATAAGAAACACAAAAATGAGTAGGTCATTCAGCTACTTGAGCTTGCTCATGGCTGATCCAACAGTCCTCGCATCCACTTTCCTGCCCTTTCCCCATATCCCTTGATTGCTCTACTGATCATGAATTTATCTCAGCCTTAAATATACTCAAGGTTTCTGGCCTCATAGCTCTGTGGAAAAGAGGCCCAAAGATTCTCAACCCTCTGAGAGAAGAAATTCCTCCTAAGCTCGGTCTTAAATTAACATCTCTTTATTCTGAGGCCATGCCCACTGATCCTAGACTCTCCCATCGGGGAAATATCCGCTCAGCATTTAGGATTCTTAAGGGGCTTGACAGGCTATGTTTCAATGAGAACACCTCTCATTCTTCTAAACTCCAATCAGTATGCAAAATTTTTCTCTGTTCCAACCACTTCCAACACTCTTGCAGTCTCCTTCTTTGACCAACTTCAGTGAAGATTCTTTCTCCACCAGCTCCCTCCTCCTCCAAACATGCATCCTCCCACCCCCAGTCCAGGCAAAAGTCAATTCTTCAGCCCAAAGAGGTCACTGTCTCAGCAAATGGCATGGCCTCAGCCTAAAACATAGCAAAAGACTTGGCCAGGGGTGAGGCTCAGCAAAAATTACAGCTCCTGCAAAATGATAATGCTGTAAACTGGTTCACCACCATCTCTGTTCCAACTTCTCACTAACTTGATTGAGTCACTTTGAAGAAGTGACAAAGAAGATTGAAGAAGGCAGAGCAGTAGACATTGTCTACATGACTTCAGCAAAGTGTTCAACAAGGTTCTACATGGTAGACTGGTTAGCAAGGTTAGATCACGTGGAATCCAGGGAGAGCTAGCCATCAGGATACAAAATTGGCTGGAAGGTAGGAGACAGAGGGTAATGGTGGAGGTTCTTTTTTGGACTGGAGGCCCGTAACCAGTCGAGTGCCAAGAGGATCACCGCTAGGTTCACTGCTTTTTGTCATTTATATAAACGATTTGGGTGTGAAAATAGGAGGAATAGAAAGTTTGTAGATGACACCAAAATTGGTGGGCTAGTGGACAGTGAAGAAGGTTATCTCAGAGTAAAACAGAACCTTGGTTAGATGGGTCGACGGGCCTAGGATAATTTAGATTAATTAATCTAGATAAATGTGAGGTGTTGGATTTTGGTAAGGCAAATCAGGGCAGGACACTTAATACTTAACGGTCGGGTCCTGGGGAGTGTCACCTAACAAAAAGACCAGGGGTGCAGGTTCATAGTTCCTTGAAGGTAGAGTCATAGGTAGACAAGGTAGTGAAGAAAGCGTTTGGTATGCTTGCCTGTATTGGTCAGTGCATTGAGTATAGGAGTTGGGATGTCATGTTGCGGCTTTATAGGATATTGGTTCGGCCACTTTTGGAATACTGCATTCAGTTCTGGTCTCCCAACTATCAGAAAGACGCAGTTGAACTTGAAAGGATTCAGAAAAGATTTACAAGATGTTGCCGGGGTTGGAGAGTTTGAGTTATGGGGAGAAGCTGAATAGGCTGGGGCTATTTTTCCTGAGTGTCGGAGGCTGAGGAGGTGACCTTATAGAGATTTATAAAATCATGAGGGATATGGATAGGGTCAATAGCAAAGGTCTTTTTCCCAGGGTAGGTTAGTCCAAAACTAAAGGGCATAGGTTTATTGTGAGGAGGAAAACATATACAAGGGACCTAAGGGGCAACTAGTTTCACACAAAGAGTGGTGTGTGTATGGATTGAGCTGCCAGTGAAAGTGATGGAGGCTGGTACAATTACAACATTTAAAAGGCATCTGAATGGGTACATAAATATGGAGGGTTTAGAGGGATATGGGCCAAATGCTGGCATGGGGACAATACTGATTTAGGATATCTGGTTGGCATGGACAAGAAGGATCTGGTTCCCTACTGTACAGATCTAGGACTATAACTGCTTGCTGCTCCACTAATCCCAGGCTGCTTCTTTTCAGTATTTGTTGATGATAGGCTCAGTGAACCTATCAGCAGCAAAGTCAAGCAAGAAAACCAGCCTGTGATTGAAGGAACAACTCCACACTGAT